CCACAAGCCTACTGCAGCTCTATCTCTATCGGTGGGAGGTAAAAACTCTGTGCTTCCCGTCGTCAACGCGCCAAGCAAAGGCATACGAGGACACAATCCCCTCTGGCTCCCGGCGATTGCTGTGGCGCTGTCTAGTCTTTGACAACTGTGACATTGAACTTCTTTGGCTTTTGTTTCCAGAATGACTCCAATACTTAATCCCATCCAAGAATTTAGCCAAATGAGAGCTCCATCCCTTGAAAATATCTCTCAAATCAGACAGTGATATGTAATTGATCATGCTGTCATACACTATTATCTTCAGGGATGGGAGCTGAAGTTGGACGAGAAGCCAGTGACGACGTTCAAAACAGGGATAAACACCTGCGATAAGTAATAATTCATTTATTTGCGCACTTATATTTATTAACACCTTTAAAAAATTTAAAAATAAACACTAACCGTATCGACCTCCCACCATGCAGGTAAAGTTTAGCTTGTCCATGCCCAACAAAAATGATTCATCTCGTTGATTCTTCAAGTGAACTGCGTGAAAAGCCGTCGGCATTATTGTATATAGCGAATTTTTTTTATTTTCCTAAGCTTCCTTATTATTAGTAGACGTACACCATGCATCGATATGCTGTTTTACAAAAAATACATATTAGTGAATTACATTATTTTTAAACAATAATCAAAATCATATAAGACAATATAGTCTTACCTCCCCATCCAAATAGCCACTGTCTTCAACCCCTAATAGCACACCCCACCAAGACCGATCAAGCAACAAAACATTTCATCGTGAGTTGTTGATGTCAGTGTAACACCCTTGGCTCCGCTCATGTAGATAAAAATCAACTGCGGTCTTAGCCCAAAGGGTATTATCCACAATTGTTTCCGGTAGTTGTCTCCTCTCCACTTCAGATACCGGAAGGGTACTAGCCGGTAACTCATACGAGAGCCAACTCTCATCCATCATGTCCGGAACCGGTGGGGGTTCTCAATACTTCGATATATTACCCCATGTGAATCGGGCTCTGGAATGGTGGGAGGGAACTCTTCAACGATGACAGTGGCCTCTTGAACGGTGGGGGGGAATCTTGAGGGAGAATAGGGGCCTCTTGAACGATTGGAGGGGACTCTTGAGGATGAAGGTGAGTCGGGCTTCTCTTGCGGGTCTTCGCACCATTGGGGTGAACGGAGACGTAATAGCACGTCCACGCCGTCTGATGCGTGAACTCCGTCGTGTAAGGAAAACCCGACGTAAAGCATCCACCTTATCGGGCCGCTAAAAAAAATTAATACATAAATCAGTAAATAAACAGACATGATATTAACCAAAGACAAATATGTTTCAAACTAGCATTGTATTCACCTAAATCATTATTCTATCATAGTTCACAAAATGCTCAGATAACATTCCAGAAGTAAGCTTATATAAACATTTAAAATGACAACATATATAAACATTCCAGAAGAAGAATAGTTTACTTTCGCAACACGAACTTAAAATCGCAACGCGAATGACTATCGCAACGCGGAAATGGCTATCGCAATGCGAAATGAAAATCGCAACGACAAAATCGCAACGCGAAATGAAATCGCAACGACAAAATCGCAACGCGAAATGAAATCGCAACGACAAAATCGCAACGCGAAACACAAATCGCAACGATAAAATCGCAACGCGAAACACAAATCGCATTGCGATTTCATTTCGTGTTGCGATTTTGTCGTTGCGATTTCATTTCGCGTTGCGATTTTGTCGTTGCGATTTTCATTTCGCATTGCGATAGCCATTTCCGCGTTGCGATAGTCATTTTCGTGTTGCGAAAGTAAACTATTATTCTTCTGCAAATTGAAACTTGAATGGATTGCATTACTTCAACCAAAAGACAAAAACAAAACCAAAAACAAATACTAACAAAAACAGATTGGCAGCAACCGAATGAATTACGAGTATGAAAAATCTTAAACTTACCTCGTTGCGTAGAGTATGAACCTCATTCTGCAACGATGCTACCATCTCACGTAGAGCGGCTACCTCACCGCGTAATGTAGACACCTCAACACGCCATGCACCATGTCTTTGCGTAAGTACCGACCTCCTCACGCAAGGCATTGACCTCATCACGTAACTCCCCTAACTCATCCCGTTGAGGTGGAGGTGGAGAACAGGGAGATAAACGTCGTGACATCTTTGCCGGTCGCCTATCTTGCGGTGATGGTGGAGAAGAGGCTCGATGATGTGAAAGAATAGGTGATTGCTGCGTTGTGGAGGTGTATAGCCGGGTCGATCAGATGATGGCTCTAGGTGAGGTGATAGCTCTGGGCGAGGTGATGGCTCCCGAAGTGGATGCTGCTCATCAACCGTTCCATCAAAAAACGCTTACTAGCTTGCCACCAATCAGTGGCAAGCTCAGCTTCCGTGGGTGTCAGCCTCTGTAGAGGATGTTGGCCTCCTAACAATATAAAAGCTTAACAAAGTTAAATGTGTACTAGTAATAACTTGTTTATAAACATATGGTAGTATTTATGTTAACTTACATTATTTATTGTCGTATACCGTAGTAAATTTCCCATTGCAAGTTCGTTTCCTCTTCCAGGAAATAGCCCTGGGAATATTATTTGAAGTTTTTATTGCATATGTCTTCATGGCGGGAAAGGCCTCAAATATCCAAATCTACAAACAATATAATAACAAACATTAGTAATGTAAATAATTACTTTAATTTGGAACATTATATAAAAATTCTTACCTTAAAGGCCCAAATAAAGCCTGTCAAAGTGTATTTGGAACCATCGCCATGCAAACTTTTTCGATCATCCAAGGCAGACGATAACTTATTCCATGTAGCTTTCCATAAATACGAGCCCCACGGAAACAGGTTCCACGCATTTAGGTCTTCTACCAATTTGATTAGACATTTGGAATAGGTTGTCTGGTCTCTCTGCCTAAAAAGCCGGCATGCAAAGAATTAGAAGGCATACTCGGACAACGTCGACGTCATCCATCCGAGTAAAACCATCTTATTATTCAAAAATCTTGTCAGGTCTTCTACGTGTAGACTCGGCCTCTCCAGCTCAGGAAAAACCCGGGATAGCCATGATGGGCGGGTAATGTGTCTAGTGTACCGACCTACATCATCGGTCCGAAGCGTAGACCGGTGATTAAGCAAAACTCCCCCGCCAAAACACGTATACGCCGGTGGAAAATCAAACCATATCTCTTCATCACGACGTGTATAGTCTCTGGTAGATCTCTAGTCATGGTTTGAAGAAACAGGTGTGTCAACATCGCATCTCCACCGGGATGTTGTACTTTCAGCCATGGCCGAAGCATGTATCCTCAAACATTTTCTTTGTGCAGGTGAAAGCTTCGACGCAATTGTTTGGCCAGGCTGACTTTATTTCTCAAGGTCAATTGAGCCGAATAAAAGTTCTACAAAACAATAAACATACTAAATTAGATATACCAAAAACTACACTGTGAAGATATACCAAAAACAATAATAAACATAAATAGTAGTAGTTTATTCTTCAAACTTAAATATGCAACACTGTGAATTTCGTATTTGTCTTTGTTTTTTGGTTGAAGTAATGCAATTCATTCAAGTTTCAATTTGCAGAGAAGAAGAATAGTTTCTGAAAATGAAAATCGCAACACGAAAATGACTATCGCAACGAGAGAATCGCAACGCGAAACTAAAATCGCGTTGCGATTTGCATTTCGCGTTGCGATTCTTGGTTGATTTAATAAGCAATCTAAGTGAAATGGTTAATCTATTATTGAAATTACCAATAAACCTATCATCAATTTCAATATGAAAAACCTAATAATAATGCAAAAATTTCAAAAAGAAAATAATTAAAAAAACTAACCCTCGTTGGTTGATTTGGTTGATTTCCATTTCTGATTGTTAGGGTGGCTCTGAGAGATTTAGATAGAGGATTTCGCCGGAGATGGGGACGGATTTCGTCGGAGATGGGTGAGAGAGTGAGAGATGGAGATGGGACTGAGTTGTGATTTTAGGTTTTAGGTTATGAGTTACGATTACGGGATATACTGTGGACAGTTCAGTGTTCCAATATATTTATATTCATGTTTGGAATTTAAAAATAAAATACTTGGCCAGGATACTAATGGCGCTTTGAAAATCGCATTGCGATTATGTATTATCGCGTTGCGAAAGTCAGTATCGCGTTGCGAAAGTAAGTATCTCGTTGCGATTTTTTATTATCGCATTGCGATAGTCAGTATCGCATTGCGATTTTCTCAATTCGCGTTGCGATTTACTTATTCGCATTGCGAATTTCCCAATTCGCGTTGCGATTTACTTATTCGCATTGCGAATTGGGAAAATCGCAACGATACTGTAGACCATCGCAACGCGATTTTCAACTATCGCATTGCGAAAATGCAACGCGTATTTGCGATAATGGAGATCGCGTTGCGAATTAGCGATCGCATTGCGATTTTGTTGGTCATTTTGGCAAATCCGAAAAAAGTTGGTTAAAATCGTATATTATATGGGATTTTTGGTCACTGAGGTTATTTTCTCTTTTTAATTTTCCTAGTTGAAATTCAACCTCTATTTTACTTAGATTCAAAAGATAAATCATTCACAAGTCGGGTTAATTCACGTGATAATTAATTTGATATAATTTAAGTAAGATCTCAAGATCAATTCTTAGTATATGCAGAAAGTTTTCATTAGAATAATCACCCATCAAAATCAAATATACGATCGAAATCGATTCAAATTAATTAAAACGAAACCTTAAAACCAGAGCCATCCAAAAAAAAAAAAAAACTCATTCCATCTATTCATTATATCATAAAATATATAATATCATACTTGTTGAATATATATTTTATGATTCTATTTTGCAACTCAAATGAAGAAATTGTTCAAAACTCATTTAAATATAATATCATAAACATAAATTCTTCAACAATCGAGCACCAAGTGACAATATAAATGTAATAAAAAGTTTATATTATAAATCAGAGCTCCATTATCTCCTTCAACATCCGCTCGTTCATTTTCATGCATTGAAAAGCTTACTGCAGGACGTATGAGAGAAAAGAAACGATCGAGGCCCCAACAAGAGATCCAAGCACCGGCAAGGTGGCGGCAGCGCCGGATTCACTGCCGGGTGCAGGTGCCATGGATGAGGCGGAGGCGTTTGGAGCTAGGCCATCTGCCAAAGGGGTAGGAGCCGGGGCGGCGCCGGAGGCCATGACGGCGCTCATTGAGGCTGCGGCGACGATGATGGCGCAGGAAACCTTCTTCATGTCCATGGCGTGCAGGAAAAGAAGGTTTGCTTGAAAGAAAAAACTCACCGAAAAAAGAAGAGAGAGACCTGCCTTTTTATCGGTGACGGATTTTCGTCGGTGTTCCTTTTTGTTATTTGCTTTGTGGTTGCAGGTCTGAGGAGAACGGTGGTGTGGTAGGTGGTTTTATAAGTTATATCTGTGGCTATTTTTAGTGACGAAACTGCTTGCCGATTTCGTCGGCAAAAAAGTTTACACGTTTCGTCGGCTAAACTTTTGAATACATTTTTATCGATTTTACCGAGTCCCCCCCTAAATAAGGGGTTTTAAATCTTACATAGGTTGTACTTTAAAAAATTACAATGAAGACATTCAACTCATAAAATAAATTTAATGTAGTATTTTGACCAATATTTTTCGTAATTGATAGTTACGGTGTTGAAGTAGCAATTCACAGTGTTGAAGTGATAGTTCACAGTGCTGATATGACAGTCTACAATACTGACATGGCGATCCACAATGCTGACGTGACAATCTACTGTAGTTGATAACTTGACGGATAACATGGAAGAGGGTTAAATTGGTAACTCAAACTAGGCAGATGGACTGTCACGTTAACACGGTGAACTGTCACATTAGCATTGTGATGGTTAACGACAAAAAACCTTGATCAAATGGTCACATTAATCTTATTTTCTAAGTTATAATATCACATTAGAGAAAAAAAATAATACGAAGGCGGGTTGATTTCTTTTCAAAAGTAAAAAACTTCGTGCTTTTTTCTAGTGACTGACTTAAAAAATTCATCCTCTGATGTTGTTGAGAGTTACTGCACTGCATATGTATGCAACAGTCCCAGGAGTGCTTCCATGCATGCTCATGCATGATATGATTGAGATGATTCTAGAATTAATAAGAGTCTAGAAGCTAGTTGGTTAACGTAATATATTGCTGTTATGAAATTTTGTTAAGCAGTTTAAGCTTAGTAAAGCTGGTATATAAGGTGCAGGGATTGTAAGGCTTGTAATCATCTTTTATTGGTTGAATAAAAGTGTGTACTGATTTTTAGAGCTTGCTTGATTACTCAACAGATGTTTTTTTACCTGAATTATATTTGAATCTTCTAATAAATTTATGAATTTTTTTAATAGAAAGAGTATCGGCTGATTACACCATTCTTGTAACTAAAGAGTATTCAATATCTCTTATAACGAGATTTTGAACAGGCGGAGGTGGAGGGTCTAAAACAAGAGCAGCATGATCGTGGGAGGGAACAAGTTCAAAGAAAGGGCACCTTTCTTATTGGCACATGTATTAATAACGAAAAATTTTCGTATGGGATATGCACAAATAAAATTTCAGGATGAGCACCTTTAGTAAAATGAACGACTAACAAAAAGAAATTTGGATTTCAGAGTGAACACAAATAAAATTTTAATAGTCAGTTTTAATAAAATGAACAATTAACATAAATAAATCCGGATTCCAGGATGGACATGTTCAACATACATCCGCCAATAGATTCGTTGCGGGACTTGGAGGATCCAAACATTCTTCCAATACTTATTATAGTTTGATCAAGTATTAGACATTAAGAGTCACAGGCAGATGAAACACTAAAGAGATGTTTCGGGCTCGTCTCCATATATATTTAGCGGCGTTTAGATCAAGAAAAATATTATTATCAATTGGAATAAACTTTTAACATTGCTATGTTTGATTTAAAAGCATTCCCACGAGGAGATAATGAAACGCTACATACAGTGTTTTTTTTACCTTGCATTACCAGGAATCCCGAATTTTATTAGGTATTAGATAATCTCCTCCCCTTTGGATAATAATGCCCCTTAAATAATATAACTAGTTCAAAATGATCATTCTTTTTTATATAATTACACAAGTATAAATCTATTTTATTTATTTATTAATGATTTAAGAACTTTTTAATACTTATTGTAAAATAATATGATGCATAAAAAATAAAAATATGTCAAATTTTTATTTTATTTTGATTATTTTTACGTATGTGTTCAATTCAAATTTTATATTTTGTATATGTTTTATTAAGTGCATTATTTAGGATTAATTTTCATAAAAGGATTTTTTATTATATAATTTTAGTATTTTCTATTAATTTTATCATATAATTTGATATGACCCATACTTGTAGCATAAATAAAAAAAGTATAACAATTAACACATATTTATACTGGTGTAAGTATGCACATCTTCCAACTTAAAAATAAACACACATTTACACCGGTGTAAGTATGTAAATCTCTCAACCTAAAAATAAACACATACTTATATCATTGTAAGTATGTACATCTCCCATAAAATATATATATTAAGTTATTTGTGTAGAGATTTTATTAAAAATATTAAAATTAAAAATAAAAAAATATTTTCTACGAGCTTTCATGTAAATATTTTAACTTTAATAATGAGAATTCAATTTGTTAAAGAAAAATATATCTCAGGATAATTTAGTAAATTACATATTTTTTTCAACCAAACATTGTAATCTTATATTCATGTCAAATAAATCAAACAAAGTAATATAACATTACCAATAATATTTTAAATAATATAATATTTTGATAATATTATTTCAAAAAATAATATTATATTTCAAAAAATAATATTATATTTCGTGAATCAAATACTTATCATTTCATTCACCTTCCATTGGGGGCATTTCATTTAACGGACATTGTCATTTAACGGAGACGACAAAGTTGCAAATAATAATATAAATTTATGAATGTTTTGGGAACGTTTAATTTACTAGCCGTTAGATGAACCAATTTGTATTAGCCGTTATGTGCACGTTATGACGACAAAGTTGCAAATAATAATATAAATTTATGAATGTTTTGGGAACGTTTAATTTACTAGCCGTTAGATGAACCAATTTGTATTAGCCGTTATGTGAACGTTGAATACTTTCCTTCTAAATTACCCAGCTGTCAGTAGGCCCAACGCGCTGCTCCCTTCCTATAAATACTCTACTTTCCTTGCCCAAACGCCAAACAAACAAAATTTTCTCGCAATTTCCAGAAGAAAAGATATACAATCTCCTCAGCTTCTCTCTTATTCAGAAATGGCTCGAGTTAGCATCTTGAAGGCTTTTTTGGTTGCTCTAGTTATGGCAATCTTAACCGCCGCCGCATCGGCGCAAGTTAGTGAGGCTCCATCCCCTTCTCCGGCACCAGACGCCGGTGCTGGATTCTACGTGACCGTTTCTGGCGCTGCTGTTTGTTTTTCGTTGATCGTCTCTCTTGCTTTCTTGAAGAATTGAATTTCATTTCTTTTTTGGTGTTGATTTTGAGTGTTTGTGTGAGGTTTCATTCTTTGTTACTTCATTCCTCCATTGCAATGAAGTTGATTCTTTGATTGTAATATATCTATTTTCTTATTATATTATAGACTTTTTGCATTGTCCTTATTAAGCTTAACTGATTAAGTTTTAATCAATGAACCAACTTATGTAATTAGCTAAATTGACACTTGAATTTTGAAGGGTAAATTACAAATTTACCTTATTGAATTTTGAAGGGTAAATTACAAATTTCATCACTAAACTTTACAATTTTCCTTATTGAACTTTAATCTCACTCCGTTGTTAAATTTTAATCAAAACGACGTCGCTTTACAACTATATTTAAAATATTTAAAATACAATGACTAAAAAACCCAACGTACTGAGAAAATTGAAAATATTTAAAATACAATGAGTGAAATAGAAGAGAGATTAAAGTTCAGTTATCAAATTTGTAATTTATCCAATTTTGAATTTAGTGATTTTTTTTTATTTTTTTATCAAATTGATACTCAAATTTTGTTAATATGCAATATACTCAAATTTTGTTAATATGCAAATTGATTGGAAGAAAATATTTATAAATTGAATAAAATAATCAACAGATTAATTGTAAAAAGAAAAAAATTTGTTGTAAAAATGAATTGAAATTTTACGTACAAGGAACAAGTTTATAAATAAATTTAAAACGAATGAAAATTTGAAAAATCAAAAAAATTATGTTTCAAATCAAATTAATATCAAAGATAGTTCGATCTGATTACAAAGTAATATCAGTTTATTCGGAAAAATAATATTATTATCTTTAATCAATTTTTGATTAATAAATTCGGAAAAAAAGATAATATACTTGAATCAGTGTTAGTGGCGATGAATTTATGAAAGTTGTAGCCAGATTATATGTTCCGTCATCATAGGGCATATAATTTTCAGAATCAATTTCTTCGCTGATTACAATGTTATCACAATTTGATTCTTGGGTACATTATGAATTTAGTATCAAAACTATCAATTTTAATTCGTTTTAGTATATAAACTTTTAAATTTTTAAAATTATATCTAAAGTTTAGTTTTTGCTTCATTTTAGTACAAACGTTCAAAATTTAATGTTAATTTTTTTAAAAAAAATTGATAGATCAGGTACTACAGACCAAAATTAATAGTTTAGGTACTAAACGTGTTAAGTTTTTAACCGTGGGATACTAAAATAAACAAAAAACTAAAAAATATGTATGATTATGAAAAATTGAAAGTTAGGTACTAAAACATACTTAAACTATCAGTTTATGTACTAAATTCATAGTTTACCCTTGATTCTTTCGCAGTAAACCCCACTAAATACAAGGGTAAATTATGTATTTAGTACCTAAACTATCAGTTTTAATCTGTTTTAATAACTAACTTTCAATTTTTTAAAAAATTACACCAAAATTTTTGTTTTTTTTTTTTCATGTTAGTACCCACCTTCAAAAATTAAAATTAAGTTTTGATTTTTTTAAAGTTTAGGTGCTAAAATGGACCAAGACTGATAGCTTAAGTACTAACGCGTTAAGTTTTTAACGATGAATACTAAAATAAAACAAAAACTAAACTTTAGGTGTGATTTTGAAAAAAATTAAAAATTTAAGTATTAAAAAGAGAAAAATTAACAGTTTAGGTACTAAATATGTAATTTATTTTAAATACAATTGGAATGAAAATAAATGAGAATATGATCTTCGTAATTAGTAGTTCCATTTTATTTAGTAAAGTCAATTGTTAGTAAAGTCAATTGATATTAAATTTATGAAACTCGAGTTGAGTTTAATTGAATCGAATGTATTTATTTAAAATTTTATTTAAATTTAAATTAATTAT